AGCCTTTGAAGGTTCCGGACCAGGAGATCACCGATGATTTCCAGAACGAGGCAAACGAGACAGTGGAACCCCCGTTTTTTGGTTGCAATTGAAAGCTTTCAAGTCTTCCTTCCGATCAGCTTCCATTGGAACGAGTATACCCCACAAACGACTTGAACCCAGTTTTTTTGGGAAAAAACGCGGGGTTTAAGTCTACCTGACCAAACATGGATGCGTGTTTTCAGGGTGCCTTGTTTTAGGTTTGAAGGGACACATACATACCATTTGTGGGGCCCTTCTATTTTCACGCATCTCTGGATTCGGCCATTTTGGGTGGCACAACATAATCCCTCTTTTTTTGAACACCAAATTAGGGTGTGACTGTTTTGAGGCCACCCTCCCTCCCGCTAACGTTGGAACTGACACAGAAAGAACCCAAGAGGAACACCATCTTTCAGGTATCCTCACACAGGTACCTTGTTTGTTGGAAGGAGGCTATCCTTTTTATCTTGGCTACTGTGGGGAAACCACAAAGCCTCTTTTTTGAGGCGATCCTTTTTTATTATTATCTGGGCAAACCCCCAAAAACCGATCTCTGCTTGTTTTTGGGAACCACCAAATTTGGGTGTGACTTTTTTTGTATGTCCTTGGTATCGCGGTGACCTTAAGGAAAGCCAGGCAATTCTGGCCACCAACTCACGCAGGTGGTCTTGCCCTCCAACCCCTTCGACTTGTCGCCGGCGGGAAGGGGCATTGCCGATTGTCGGGTCGGTCGGTCGGTCGGTCGATCGGTCGATCGGTTTCATTTTGTTTGGTCCAACATGGCAGTGGTCATTCTTTTGCCCGGGCTTTTTTGAAAGTCCAACATGGCAGTGGTGTTTTCTCATATATTTTTTCCCGGTTTCTACCTGTTGGCTGTTTTTTTTGGAGCACCCCGGAAAGAAACCCGAAAAGAAGACGCACCCAGATATTCCAAAGCTTTTGGAGCCTCGCTTTCGACCTTTTGACCTTTTGGCATGTGTTGACCCCTATCCAACCTGTCGTCCAGCCTATGCGCTGCACATCGCACCCCCGAGATTGTGAAAGGGTGCCTTTTGTTTGAGTCTACCTTGTGCTTGGTAAAGGGAAGCCTAAACTCTCAACCAGCCCGTCAAAATTGGCTATTGCCCCAAAATTATGGGGGAGATTTCCCCTTTTTTCCAGGGTAGTCTGAGGGTCCGGGAGGCCAAAGCTGAACCTTCTTCTTGACGTTTGACGGGGGAGCCCGTTCAAAAGGGGCCCACAGGCCCTACGGCTAAGTCAAGGGTGCTGATTCTTCGAGTTCCACGGTCCCATCCATTCCCAAGATGACGTGGGGCCGTGTGGAGTTTTTGTTGGGTGGCCCAATATGGCGCGGGGGGGGGGGGTTCGCTTTTGGAACCCCCGGCAAAAAAGCGGTTAAGCCCCCCCCAACAAGGGTCACAGGCCGATAAAAAAGACCTGGGCCGCGCACGTGCTTTCCTCTGGCTTGGCTGCAATTTGTCATCTCTGGCGCATGCTTGACAGCAAACCGGAGAATTAGCCATTATTGTTTTTTGGCATAGTTGCAGTTCAATTCCTCAAAATCTGAATCAACACACTGCAGCCTACGCACCCCAGAAATCCTTCTCAATGGGAAGCTGATACCTCCAAACGACGCTATGCATGTAGTGAAGCTGAATTGGTATATTGTGGTCTTGCAATGATTGCCACCATCTGTCTACACATTCAGTTCCCACCATGAAGCAAGCGAAGCGGGTCGTTTGCGTGCTCCCCTCGTCATAGAGACTCTTCTAGCGAATTAATGTTTGCTGGGATCGGCATGGTGGCTCTCCAGACACATTTTGCCAGCTTTTGCAACCAACATGGGCCATGCATCAACCTGTGCGCGCTGACGAGTGTGTTCGTGTGCGTGCAAGCCTTTCATAACGACGATCACATCACCCTCCCCACCTCCCCTGCCCCACCCACCCCTTGCTCACAACTGCAACTCAACACATCACAGGAAGTACCAGGTTTTTTACCAACCCCCCCAAAGACTAACTTGGACTCTCAAACTACCCCCAAACAAAAGGACATCACCATAAGTTTGGGTTGCAATAACCCATTCTTATGGGAAGTTTGAGGGCTCAGGTAAGCCACATACTCGTGCAATTGAAAAGCCCGAGACGTTCAGGCCGAGCTCCAGCGAGCAACGACACCTCCTCCGCAAAAGCCTCGAGAATCGCGATGCGTTGGAGGGTTAAAAAACGGCTGCAGCCATTTGCTTTAAGGGGAATCTGTCACTACAGGATTTTTGGTTGAAGCAAGTACCAGAGCCCGAGCAAAGCATGCCATTTTGCCCCATGCTTGGAGCCCAAGACTCAGGGTCCAAGAGAGATGCTTCCCGGGATTCCATGTTACCAAGCTTTGACCCACAGCCAGTTTTGAGAGTCCATTGGTTTAGGCGTTGCGAGGATTTCCATCACAGTGTCTTCCTTCGATTTCCTTAAGACTATGTGTTATTTTCCCTTGTTGGTTTGAAAAGGGAGTCTATCACTACTGTTTTTCCATTTTTTCCCCCAGCAGCTTAAGCGGGTGGAAGCTTCGCAAGCGTCTCAAGCGCCCTTCTGCCGCTTTGCCGAGGCGTTCCAAGTCTCCGCGGACGCGGGGCAGCGCAGACGGAGAGACCGCGTGTTCGGCGTACACAGACTGCCTAGCTCATTCAGCTGGCCGTGGGTCAAAACCTTTTTGGGATTCCATTTTGCTTGGGATTGGTGAATTCGCCTATGTTAGTGGGGATTGGGATGTTCACTGGGGGTTAACCGGGATTCTGACCCATGGTCAGCTGGGAACGAGCCGAAACGGCAAATTGGCTCTTCGGTTTTTTGCCTTCATACTGACTTCCTTTTGGAATAAGTCGAAGTAGTTGTGTTGCACATGCCCATGTGGATTGGTGAGATAGGTGGGACAATTATCTTTTCGGCAAAAATGCATTCGATGAAGACAGTGATCCAGACTTGAAGTTGCGAAGTTGAGTCAAGAAGTGAGTCAAGAAGTGAGTCGAGTCTGATGTTGCAGGCCATTCGTTGACCGCGACCTTTTGGAGAAGTTTGCCACCTCCCTTCACTGGTCATGTGGAAACCCGCCCAAATTGGATGCCGGTCGCCACTGGACATATGCTTTTATTTTGTTTCAGGCCAAAACGCCCACAACTTGCTGGTGCGATATCGGCAGGGAATGAAGAGTTATGGAATGACCCCGAGAAGAACCATCCAAGTTGTTTCCTTTTAAGGGAATTGTCCGGTTCATTCCATTTGTCATTCCCTACCGATTTCGCGCCAGCAAGACGTCCATGGCGTCCATGGCGCCCGGACCTCCCGCGAATTCCCATTACCTGAGGCAGGGCAGCCCCCCCGCCAAGCCAGGCGCGGACGACAATGGTCTCCCTGGACCATGTTGTTTTGTTTGTTTTGTGATTTGATATGTTTTATTTGTTTATAAATATATATATATATATATATATCTTTTATTAAAAACAAAAACAAAAACAATGAAAACATAAGCAAACAAACAACACATCTTTTGCGTATTGTTTTAGGAAGACGCGAATGATTGTTTTGCAGGCTTGGGCTGCTTGTTTTCGAGTAGTTTTGACTTTTAAGGCTTTGGTTAGAAGCTACAAAGGCCTCAAGATTCCAAAATACAGCCCAACTTCCGAAGCACCGTGCCAACAAATGAGACTGAAAGAATCGTAGACCTAGAAAATCCAAAACCAAACTCTGACAAGCTCAACATATATGGAAAGTGTCGATGAGCCAACGTTTTTTGTACCCCGGTGGCCGCTTTCCCATGACCGCCTGCCATGTGGACATGGCACCTGAAGGGGTCTGCGGACAGCGTAGGCAAGTGATCGTGTAGGCGAAGCCAACGGCATTGTCATCGTCGTCGAAACAGAGCCACACTAAATCAGGGGCAAAAACGACACTCGCATCGAGATCTTAGCAGTCCTCCCAAAGGCTGAACGCTTCAAAGCGGGCTAAACCCCAAGACTAGGTGACCCTCAAACCTGGTTTGGCCTTGGTTCCATCCAAGCTGCTTCTCCCATGTTCGGAAAAGAAAACGACATAAACAGCGGCTTCTTCCCCTCCAGGCGCGAATCGGTCGCCGCGGCGCGCACGGAGCCCACAGGCCCGGCGATCTGCACGGGTGGCTACTGCACTGTTGATTAACCCCAGTTTAGTGGGGGCCCAAAAGTGGTCTGATTGCAACCACTGCCCTGAAATGGACACTCCTCCTATGAATAAACTGGGGTTGATGATTCTGGGGTCAACAATACAAGCGTAAGAATGCTCGGCCCATGTTTATTGATGGTTTCTAGTGTTGGAGTCAGATACCGTGTCCTTTCTCCAGCCAGCCCCCGCCACTTCCCGGCTGACGTGCTTGCGGCTCAAGCCGGCGATCCGGCAACCAAAAAGTTGCGCCGCTGAGCGCCTCACAGGAACAATTCCCATAGGTCATTTGTCCACGGTTGGAGCAACACCTCTCAAACATAGTTGTCCTGTTTAAGTTAGTTTGGATAGACAGATACTGCGTTAGATGATGTGTGGGTTCCATTTACTAGGGAAATCCATTTGTTTTGCATCAAAACGTCAATGTTCTAAAAAGCCCGTGAGAGTTCTTCTAAAGGGCTTTCATGCGCCACCATGCGACTTAGACAAAGGAAAGGGACGCAACGACTCGTTGGAAGAAGCCCGAAAAGCATTGCTTCAAATATGTCCACAGTATCCACCTCATCCAGTCTTTCAAGGAAAACACCAAATGAAAGTGGGAAAATCAAAACGAAACCATCTACATTGCAGTATATGATCCTTCAGCTTATCTTCAGCCTACCTTCCTCACTCCCGAGTTGAACTTTCGTCACCTTTTGTTTGCAACAAAACAAACAAGCACCACATTTTCATGGCAAATCCCAAGAGTTCCTCCTTTTTGGGGTCCATCCACTTGAGTGAATCAACCCCTCCGTGGGTTTTCCCTCGTGGCTCCCACTGGCCCTCCCGAGCGGCCGATTCGAATGCATGCGCGCGCGGGGCGCCGCCGACGCGGCGGCGGCACCGGGAGCCGCGCCGGCGCTCCATGCGGCGAAAGGCCGCGGCCCGGGAGTCTTCGCAGTGCTGGGCAGCTCCTCGGCTTCAAGTCAGGTGGGTGGGTGGGTGATTAGGTGGGTGGCTGGCTGGGTGGCTGGGTGGGTGGGTGATTAGGTGGGTGGGGGTAGGTGGGTGGGGGTAGGTGGGTGGGTGGTGGCTTGCCCTCTTGTGTGCTTGCTTGCTTGGTACCTGTTGTTCTCCCTTGTCCAATGCTGGCAGGTTGGTCGCTACCCGTATTTTCGCCCCTTGCCAAATGGCTGTGGCTCAAAAAACTGGTACCAAAATGAAACCCTGAAGTGGAAACAAAGGCCAAGTTCTGCGGTTTGCCCCTGTTGAGTTTGAGCCAAACCCAAATGGCCACCATGTTTTGACCGTCCTGATTCAGCAACTGGTCCTTGCGCGCGTCGCACCAAATCAGAATTGGCAAGGCCTGGCGGCCTGCGGCCTGGGCCTTTGGGCGCTGCTGGCGCTGAGGCTCCACTCCTACGCCGCGCCGGCCGCGGTCTCCAAAACAGTGCTGGAGCGAAAGCCGGCGCTGAAGCGACGGGACCCAGGCGGGGGGGAGGTGGGGGGGGAGGTTGGGGGCAGGTTGGGGGGCAGGTTGGGGGGGAGGTTGGGGGCGACAAAAAGGTGCAGATGGATCGTGTTTTTTTTTTGAGAGAGAGAGAGAGAGCGAGACCCCCGCCCCCTTTAATATGCACATTGTGCTAAAATAGGGATTTGAACCCCCAAAATGGGTGGGTTTGCCTTTGCTTTTCCTTTGAAGCTGACCCTGAAAAGGGCGCCCTCAAGAAACAAATGAGCCCCTTGTTTGTGTGACGCTACCTGGTATTTGTTTGCGTGGCGGGGCAGGCTTTTGGGTGGGGCTCTCTTGTAAGTTGACCTCCGCCAAGGCGGGTCCAAAGGAAGTTGTGAAACACCTACACTTGCCAAGGCCAACCTGAAGCTTTCGAGCACGCACGGTGCTCATGTAAATCCATCAGGTTCGAGTTGCATCACACTTTCTGGGCCGCTTTTAGCAAGCGCCTTTGATTGTTGTCTCACTTTGGAACACAATTTTAGTGCTAAACAAAAAGTTTGGGCTTTCAGTTGGGCCATCCACTCAGGAAGTGAGTTGTTTTGAGCCCGCCAGAAATCACCCTGACCCTGTTTTTCCCGAGAACACCTCAGAGCCTGAACCTCGCAACCGCCCAATCCCGCCCATACCTATTCGGTTTTGGCTCAAATCAAAATTCCTTCTTGCCTCCCGAAAAGAGCCCCCCCAACAAAAAACACAAAAAGCAAGGAAGAGTCAATTCACCACCAGCCTTGGCTTCCTTTTGCGGTGTCCTTTAAGAAAAGCCAAACAGCCAAAACGGGTAGGGGAACGTTGTCCATCCAACGTGGCAGCGGCTTCCGTTTCTGACGTCTTCGGCCTTAGGCGAACGGGACAAGGACACGCACAGGCCATCTCCCGAAAAGAACACCGCGCCTCGCACGAGAGGAACGGCGCACGGCGAACGGCTCGCTCGCTCGTCTTTTGCCCACTTTTTTGGGTTGCTTTGACATTAAAGAAGGTGTGGGCGGGTTTTTGGGCGGGTTTTTGTTGTGGCTTTTTTGGCCGGTGTGGCTTAAACTCACTTTTCTTTTCTTTTTTCGTCTGCATTTGAACTAACTTCTTGTTTTCTGGGTTGGTTGTTTGGTTTCCCTTGTTTGGAGTTGGACAGAAGTCACTTGGGGCTGGACCATCCGGGTGACTAAGTTTGGACTTTCTTTGGCCAATCCGCTCAAGTGAGTGAAAGAACAGAAATAGGATCAAAAACATTCTTTGCGTCCAAATCCTAAGAGAAAAAACACGAGCGGCTTCCTTTTGCTGCTGCTGTCGTTCTTGTTGTTTGCCCGGTTTGTCCACGTGCATCTCTACATGTTCCGCTTGGTTTGTCAGGGAGATCGCCCGAATCTCCGGTGGCCGCGCGAAAGAATCCGGTCCGCGCGCTATTTGGGGCACGTCGGGTTAGCAAGAACACAGGGACATGTGCGAAACGCGGACAAGTCGTGGTGGTGTGTTCTTTCTCCCGTGGTTCAAATTATGCTGGGCTGTCCTGATATGCGCGCCATGCTTTTGCGGCTCTTGGGGCCTCAGGTCCATGCGCCTGAAAGTACCTTGTTTTGGAGGTTCTCGCATGGCTCAGGCAAGGTCCCCAGTGAATCAGGAAGAAAGGGGTTCCTTTCTTCCAGGCAGCCGGTGGTTCTCAGTACTTGGGGTCTGTGTGTTGACTTTGGATGAATCCGAACCGCGAGCCAAAGTAGGCCCGTAGGCTACTCCAGAATCCGAAGATTGCATTCATGGGGTTGCTTTTTGGAGATCTGTGCACTTGAACTTGTTGGGATACGTATTTTCCATTGGACCCCCAACAGTGAAGCTCACTTTCTTTGCAGATCTTGCCGGGCGCCTTGAAGCCTTGAGGCGGCCAAGGCCCAGCCCACGGGCAAGGCCCAGCCCAAGACCAACACCACACGCCGCAATTCCTCACGAGGCGCGCAAGCGAGCGCATCGGGCAAAATTGGTTTACGTGCCTATATCAGACATGCCTCGACTTGGAGGTCCGAAAAAATCAAGATACTTCTCTTGTCCTGACGGTTTTGGTCAAAAGGGTCTGATATCTTGTTGCTTGAGCTATTTGCAGCCAGATGTATTTTGGGCCGAACGAATTCCTTTGTTTATTATTGTTCGAATGTGATACTGATTTTCCCACCGTCAAAGATCAGCCCAGTCTTTTGGAGAGATCAGTTTGTCAGTTGTTGCTTATTTACCCAGCAGTTGAGTTTGCGATTTGAGGATTCCTGACATGGCTGGTTTCCTCTAGGTTTGTAAATGTCCCATCCGGCGCTCGTTTTCCGCGACGTGAAACCCGGGTGGCAGCACATCGGATATCGCACCCTACGTAAAGGACCGTTTGATCAACCCCCATGTCCCTCCACCAAAAGAAATCGGGTTTGTGTTACCCCCTTCCGAAATTCAAACTCTCAGGTGGCTCGTGCAAGGAGCGCTTCTCCATATGTTTCCCAGTTGCCCAGTGGTGTCCTTTTTCCTTTTGTTGAGGAAGGGTTTCCCTTTAAAGTCAACCAACCCCAAAAAAAAGATGCCCCCTTTTTTTCCCATGGCCACTGGGCATCTGAGGTTTGTGTTTCGGGTCCGGTCGAATTCTTCGGCGCGAGTCATGTCACAAGTGCGGAGCGCATGGCCAGGCCTGATCCTGCGAGGCGCGTGCTTCGCGGGGCGTGGCGGTGGAATGCCCACGGGGTAAAGGGTACAGCAGAATCGCTCGTAGTATCAAGTGATTATACTATTACTATTATTCTTAGTGTTGGTATTATAATTAATATTTGTGTTATTAGTATTCGTATAATTCGTATGCGCACTAATCTTATTGTTAATAGTGCTGTTCTGAGTATTGTTGTTATTGCTATTATCATTATTGTTGTTGTTATTATTTGACCCTACGGCTCATGACCCCTCCAATGCAAGGCTCCCAAAGAAGAACCCGGACCCCTCGCGGGCGGGACCCTCAGGGCGTACATTCTTGGGGCCAGGGAGCAGTTGGTTTCGCAGGTAACGTGTGGGAAGCTGGGCAACAGGGAAAGGTCATGATAACAATTAGTAGTGTGATAATAATAATAATAATAAAAAAATAGAAATAATAATAATGATAATAATAATAATAATAATAATAATAAATGATGATGATGATGATGATGATGATGATGATGATGATGATGATGATGATGATGATGATGATGATGATGATGATCTTTGATGGTTGTCAACCGTGTTTCCTTTAAGAGGCAGATATCGAGATCGGCACTGAAACGGGTCCCTTTAAAAGAAGCGGCCATCTATTGAACGATTTAGGCCAAACAATACACAAAGCAATCAATAATAGAGGCTTCTTGGGACAGTGGCGAAAGGCTTGACCAATTTGGTTGCTGGTTTGGTTGAAACTTCGAATGAGTACCCCCATGTCCCTCTCAAATTGATCATAGACGAATGTTGCCTTCCAACTCACGGGAGGCCCCCACTACTCTGACGAATGAAGGGACACAAGTTCCCACTAACAGGAGAGCCACTCTTCAAGATCCGAAGTTAACCTAGGTCCCCCAGTAGTGCCCTGTTACCCTTTTTTTGGGGAGGGTTCCCCCACTAAAATAGACTACAGAAAAAGGGTACCCTTACTCTAATCTCTTTAAGTGGAGAACCTAGTAACATTGCTCCCCCTGGAAATTCAACATGGAACCCAAAGAGGTCCTTTGTTCATTGGGTTCTCCTAAAACGGATCTTGGATGGCTATTTCTCCCCCCAAAGTCCTCAAAATGACACACCAATGACCCGATTTGGGATCACCCAAGGCTAAGTAAAAACAAATCGACCATACCAAGTTGATTGCTCTAGTTGCACGGAGTCACCCAAAAGCGTCACCCAGATTTGCTGCAGCTCCTCTTCAAATCAACGTGGAACCTCCCCCAAAAATCAGAGATTCCATTCAAAGAGGGGCTCCTCAGGTTCCGCGCAGAAAAGAAACACAAACACAAACACAAACACAAGCACAAACACAAACACAAAGAAACAACGCAACAAGAGGGGGAAAAACAAAACATAAACCACAAATCAAGAAAAAAAAAGGAAACAAATAACGCGCTGCCTCGGTGGGATTCGTCGATTCGTTGCGCTTCCAGGCAAGCCGAAGGACCGGCGCTTTGCGCTGGTCCCGCGACCCCAGATTTTGGAGGAGCTGAGGGAGCTGTCAAGAGCCATGCGGTGCGTTCAAACTCTTTTGGTGGGCGGTGTTTTTTCACCCCCCCCCCCCCCCTGACCGGCAATCTTGAAGTCCCCCATTCTTTGTGGATCCCATTTTGGGGTAGGTGCACCACCCATTTTAGAACCTATTTTAGTGGGGATTGGGATGTTCACTGGGGGTGCGGGATTTTGAGCCATGGCAAAGTGTCCTCAAAATGACCCTCATTGGCCAAGGAAACTAAGGAAACTAACTAATCCCCCCCCATCACTGATTACCCCTCCACCACCCCACCATACGGAATTCCCTCTTACCCCCCCCAAAAAAGAAAAACACATGGAAAACACGGTTATTTCCTATTACCCACCCCTTCCCCCAGACAAAAAAAAGATTGAAACCACAAAGAATGGGGGCCTTCAAGTGCCCTGAAAATGATCCTGGGCAGGGAAACTGACCCTCCACCAAAAAGAGTTTCAACCCCAAAACCCCAAAACCCCAAACCCCCAAAAACCCAACCCCCGCCCCCCCCCCTCTCAACAAAAAGGAGGAAACTTTGACCCCATTCTTTGAACATAATTCTTTTGTTGCCGTCTCTGCAGTTCGTTCCCCTCTCCGAGATGCGGCTGAGCTTGACCTCAACAAGGAAGGCGAACGGACCCCAACGCCTTTCCAAGGCTTTCGGCAAAGCGCTCCCAGTTTGGAATTCTTGGGATGTAAACCCACGTCGCGGGCAGTCATTGTAACGAGCCAAACAAAAGCCCCTTGTTCTAGGAGCTTCCTTCATTCCATCTTAGTTTGAAAGCGTCTTTGGAGTTGGTTCCCCATTTTGGGAGTTAGTTTGCAGCAACAACCGGAAAATAAGCATGGCTCAAACTTACCAAGAATTGAATTGTTGGGGTTACATGCTTTTTTGACCACACCCAAATGGCTTTGGCTCAAAACACCGGTACCAACATGGAACCCTGGTAAGTGGAAACAAAGGCCAAGACCTGCGGTTTGCCCCTCCTGTTTAATTTTGAGCCACACCCAAACGGCCAACATTTTTGGACCGCCCCGATTCCTTTGAGACAAATTCGGAGGGCCTGCAGCAGACCACCTCTCGCAGCTTCAGCAACTGGTCCTTGCGCGCGTTCCGGCCAAGCAGCGGCGAGGAGAGGCCGGAGACTCGGGTGGGTGGGTTCGTATGGCGTGCGTTCGCGTGGTTGGCAGAGGATCTACGTGTGTCATCAAAGAACAAAACGGAAACATGGTGTGGTGGTGCTTTTGGTTTCCCTTAAGATCCGACCCAAGTGCACCCTGTTTGGCGACATTGGGGCATGGGGAATGAGCCTTGTTCTACTACGTCAACTTCCGTTTGCTGAAAAATATTGTATATCTTCCCTTGTTGGTTTCAAAGGGAAACAAATTCACGACGGAATTAAGTGTGTGTGTGTGTGTTTTCTTTTCAGGGCGGCATAAGCAAATGAACGACCGCACAACTTGTTGGTTTAGGCTCCGCTGTGTTTTCAGGTGAAGAGCTCAAGCCTTGGTGTCCGTTGAGGGCCAACAGATGTGAGTCATCCTGTGTGGCTTTCAGGTTTCGGAATGTGCAACAATTCCCTGTGAATGTAAAGCAGGCTCAACAAAACATGAACCACTAATACAGTGGCGACAGTGGCCCCTCCTTGTGATTTATATACGACCTGTCGACTTTTTGCCCAGAGTCGATGGACATGTTATGTACCTCTGATGCTCTAGTTTAAACAGAAAACCAGACCCCCTCTTGTGCTGTAAGTACCACTTTGCACCGTTGGTTTAAAGGACGCATAGGGTCATCAAGCAGAATCCCCTGCCTATGTGGATCCTTTCGCAAAATCCCGCATAGGGTCAACAAACCCTTCAATCACCCGGATGTTTGGCAACTGAGAAAACCCTTTGTCAGGGTTTCCGAGCCATTTCCCTTCAAAGGGAACCTCCAAAAGTGGAGACCGATCAGTTCAATGGACCCCCCCCCAGAAAATTGATCCCAAGCTTTTTTAAGCCTTGATTTGGACATCCAGCCCCTCTGACTTTGAGATCTATTGGTTTTTGAGTGTATAGATAACCACGTCTTTCTCTTTTTGGTGGCGTGGTAAACAACTTTGAGGTCTCTTGGTTTGAATGTATAGGTAACCACGTCTTTCTCTTTTTGGTTGCGTAGTAAACAACTTTGAGGTCTCTTTGATTTGAATGTATAGGTAACCACATCTTTTCTTGGTTTGAATGTATGGATAACCACGTCTTTCTCTTTTTGGTTGCGCAGTAAACAACTTTGAGGTCTCTTTGATTTGAATGTATAGGTAACCACGCCTTTTTCTTTTTGGTTGAGTTTAAACATGTTTAACCATAGAAAAGCCCGGCTCAGTTGTTCAGTGGCACCCTTTTTCCCCTGTTTTTGGTGGCTGCCCCACTAAAAATGGTCTTTCCCCCAAAGAATGGGTTCCCTTTTTTTTCCTGAACAACTGAGCCTGGCCTTTTTAGTGGGGAACGGCCCACGCATTCCGCTTCCGCTCAGATGGGCGCTGGAAGCCTTGGAGTCGGTGCTGCAGGTCTCCGCGCAGTTCGACGCGCCGGGGGCGGTCACGGCACCTCGGGGTGCGGCGCGCGCTCGTTTGGTTTGTGGCTGATGCGTGGGTTTTGCTGCAGGGATTTGGTTTGTTAAAGAAAAAAGGGGGAGGAGGTTGACTCCCTCTCTGCATGACCTTGCGCTTTGTCTTGGGGATCTTTTTCTGAGGCGAAAGGTGCTCTTTTTGGCTGGGTTTGAAGACACCCCCCAGATTTTCTTGCGGGTGCGATAGGAAGGAAATCAGAAATGGAATGACCTGGAGAACCATCCAACTGGTGGCTTCCTTTAAGGGGACCAAAGCCTGGGTTCATTCCCACATTCCCCGCTGACATCAGCAAAGTGTTTGGAGAGACACACGACATGGCTCGTCTTTTTCTAGAGTACCTTTCTGGAGGTAGCTCGTCTTTTTCCAGAGTCTCCTTCTGGGGTGGTCTTACTCGGACACCCAAACGAAGCAACCATTCCGGTGTATTTTAAGACAAACCCAGGTGGGGCCAATTTCAAGAGACGGCGGTTTGAGAGTCTGGACTGAGGCTTAAAAGATGTCACAAGGTGAAAGCTGAGAACTTGGTCAAGGAAACGAACCTTCCTGGTCTGCCACGGAACAATACTTCCGTGCGGGGATGTTTTGAAAGTTCGCCGAGTGAACGTGATCTTCATGTCTTGACATATGAACCTCTTTATCCTGGGTCCTGGGTTCTATTTTGAATTCTGGCCCCGCCCCCCCCCCGCTCCCCCCCAGCTCTGGGCGGACTTCTGGGAAGGGGTGACCCAAAAAAGGACAGAAAACGCACGGAGAAAAACACAACTTGGGGCTCAAGCCAGAATACACCCAACTTCAAAACCACACCTTCAGATCTCCGGGCCCCCAATTAAAAAACCCCAAGCCGACGACTTCCGCCCCCCCTTCGGCCCTTCGGCCCTTCGGCCGCTTCGATCCAATCCGAGGCCTTGCTGCGGGCCGAGCGCGCCGAGGCGCGCCGGGCCTGCGCCGAGCAGCTGGGGCTCCCCCTGCCGCGCCTCGGACTTTGGGCCAAAGTCCATCCCAATCCAACCACTAAACGGTTCTAAAATGGGTTCTAAAATGGGATCCAAAGCCAAAATGGGATCACCAAAATGGGATCTCAGATGGTGAATTCACCTACCAAAATGGGATCCAAAACGGGTTTGAGCCACTGCCTTGTCGAGTCGAGTCGAGTCCACGGGTCCAAAGCCGAGGAAACGAAGCGGGGCGCGGCGTTTTTGTTTTTTGGGGCGACTCCCCAACTTAGATGTGGGTTTCGTTTTGGTTGGTCGTGCGGAACGCAAATTGGGGGGGGGGGGGGGGATCTTTTTTTGGAGTTGGTACCTCTTTTTTGGGCCGTTGTCACGGGACTCCAGAGGAAACCGAAGCTGGTTCAGGGAGGTCCGATTCCTAAAAGAGACACCCATGTGGGTGGGTCCAACAGGTGGACCCCAAAATGTTTTTGGATGGTGTTGTTGTTTTTGGAGCCGTGCCCTTCCTTTTCAGGTTGGTCTTAAGCTGTCTGTTTGAGGCTCACCCTGCTCAACCCCAATTCTTGGGAGGGTAGGAACAGTGAAAAAGGGCGGCCGCCAATCCATGTGGCAGGATCTTGCGGATTGAATTTGCTCCCAGAATGAGCTTCTGTGTTTTTGTCGGGTACCCTTTTCAGGCTGTTTGGGCAAACAAAAGGAAAGCCATCATCATTTTGGGGGATCCCCTATTTTGACACATACTCATAGGGGGAAGATGGTGTTTACGTCCAATTCGCAAACGTTCAAATGGGGCTTCTGTCCATGTTCGGGTCAAACTCCCCCGCGAAACATATTCCCGAAACATCCCTGAAACCACACTTGCACAATACACGTCTCAAGCATTTGCCCAAATCCCACACCCTGAAAATCAATATTGTTCCCACAGCCCACCCGCAACACTCTGGCCAATGCCAGGTCATTCACTAAACTGGCTGAGGACAGGCCACAAGGGTTAGAGTGACTAGCGCTTTTGCCAGGTGAAGCATTCCGGTCCACGAAGGCTGCATGTTTGAGCATAGCCCGCTGTGAGGTGTCCACGATTTCACTGGAGTTATTTCACTGTTTTTACCATACGGCTGGATTGAAGTTGTCGGGTTATCTGATTTGCAGTGTAGAAGATGCTCGCAGCGGGCGTCCCTTGCCCTGCAGTGAAGTTCACCATTTTTGCGATGCATCGTTCCTGTCGTTTGACGATTGATGTGGGAACGTGTCAAGACCAGGGGACCTGTGTAGAAGTGTCCCTAGGCCGATTCTGTCACTTTGGGGCCCGTTTGATTTCCGAGAAGTTGTTGCATGCGCCAAAATGGCCGCCCTTCGCTTGCGAGGGTTCTTGTACTTTTTCAAGGATCGCGTGTGTGTTTCTTCGGACCCTTTGAACACGGGCAGAGCTTGGCGGGGGGACCCTTCTGACCATCCAGTCCGTTGGTGCTTTTTTGCAATCTGATGTGCAGATCACTTGCATCAAGAAGTGTAAGAGTTTGTTGGATGATGAAATGCGTGGTATTGAACTTGCTCTCCTCCAACACGGAAGCTGACAGCAGGGTTTTGGAAGATTGGCGTTCCTTTGAGGGACCCCTGAGGGACTCCAAGACGTCCACATCCATCTTCCATTTGCTTAAGAATCTGGTTTCATTTTCCCCTGTTGGTTTTAAAGGGAATCTATCACTACTGGCGGGGAAAGAAGCAAATGGAAGCCATGATTCTTGGAAGGGTATATAGTGGCTTAGTGTCGCCCTTGCCGTTATGAACCTACAACTTCCATTTGCTTAAGTTCTTTTTTCCCCTGTTCGTTTTGAAGGGAATCTATCACTGGAGATATTTTCATTTTTTCCAGGGGTCTTAGCCAAATGGAAGACAAGCGTAGCAAGAAGAGACCTCGACCTCCGAGGTCTTACCGGGTCCATGAGGACGAGCAGAAGGACTTTGGGGACTTCTGGGACTTCTGGGCCTGTTGCGCCCGCGTTGTTTTTTCTCTGGTTTGGCGGACCGTGAACGATGTGGCCCAGGTAATTTTTTTGGAGTTGGCTTCCCCTGTTGGGCTGGAACTTTGGGAAGCCGAAGCTCATTGAGACGGGCCGTGGCTGCGCAAGAACTCGGACCCCCCCCAACACGGCGAAAACGGTTTTGCTTTGGGTGTCCCTAAAAAGAACCGCCGACAAAAACGGGTTCCCCCCAAAAATAAATAAATCAATAACAAGACACTGTTTTACAAGCACAGCTCGGGAACTCTCCCCCCCATGTCCGTCGCCCCCGATTTTCCCCCCACCACCCGATTTCCCTTCCCCGGAGGACTGCCAAGCGAAGGATTGGCACTTCGCCCTGAGTGGGCCCAAGGGCCTCTGCTGCGCCGCCGTGCGCCCCGCCGGGCTCTTCCGCTTCGCCCAGACCCTGCGCCAGCTCGCAGGCTTCCCGGCAGAAAACCCGGGAAGCTCCCCCCTCTCCTCTTTTTGTTGCTTGTTCTTTCGAGCATGTTTTAATTAATACACGTGTCATGCGACTTCCATGGCGGTTTGTTTGGTAAAGGGTCGTAAAATTGAGAAATGGAGACCAAGCCCCGTCCCGTTGACCGTGGGTTTTTGGGGGATCTCAGCCTTTTTCCCATGGATTTCGAGGTTGCAAGTTGTGGGGTTAGACATAGGTCTCGAAAAGGGCTCGACCCATGGGGTCTGGGACTCTTGGCAGAAGCTATTGACGCAGCTCTTTTGTGGTGCCTTGCTGGCCATTGAAGACAAGCAACAAAAAGTAGATCCGGGAGAAAGACTGATCAAGGCGAAAAGGCAGGCCCGAGGCTATCTGGCTTCGGATTCTCCAGCAGATTTGGGGAAGAGGAATTCAGCGGCCAGCGTCGGTGGAAAATAAAACGACAGCTGCACCTTTGTTTATCTTTTGAGATACCTGGCTGGGCCACATGAATAATTTTGCCTCTAGGATGACTATGTAGACCCAGGGTCGTATTTGACCGAAGAACACAGCAAGTAGATACAGTCTAGCCGGGAAGTGAGTCCAGTCATTTCAAGTCGATACGAGAGCAAAGCGATGTCTACGAGGTCAATTCAGTGCACAAGACACGTAGCATATCTATCCAAGCGATGCCGCAGACAAAATCTCTTGAAGGATAAAATGGACATTGAGTTAGAAAACCCAAAGTGTGGGTAATGGCAAGGCTAGGGCATGTGTTTGAAGGGAAAGCCAGGCCCCGTATTTTGAGGCAGGCCCGATTTTCGTTCGAGTGGTTGCTCAATCCTTCCAGTCCGGTTTTCAAAATTTGCCACTTCCCCAGAAGCATGCGTGGAAGTGTAGGATCTCCCGGCTTGCGCGGGCAAGCCGCCCGCAGCACTTGGCAGGCGAACATTCCCCTGCAAACCTGCCGGACTTCGTCTTAGAGGACAGCGTTTGCTTCCGATGCAACATGCATCTACCGTGCGTTCGCCGCACATCTTGGGCAAGCTGATGCTCTCTTGGATATGTTCCCCCGAAGGGAGCAAGCTCAGATTGGTGAAACACCTATCTTTATTTTCTCCTGGTTTTCCATTACTCTTGGACATGTGTCGTCTTTTCTCACCCAGGACCAAAAGTCAAATGAAGGTCTACGTTTTCACGCATGTCTACTGTTTTGCCACACGGAGAGGAGGGGAGGCCGCTCCGCCCCGCTCCGAACACTGCAGGACTGGCCGCGGTTCTGCTGGCGGGGGCTGCAGCTGGACGCGGTGCGGCACTTTATGCCGGTGGATTTCCTGAAGCGCTACATCACCGCCCTCGCGCACTTCAAGGCCGGCTGGAAGGAAGTGAAGCGGCGAGCTGAAGGAAGCGGCGAGAAGGTTTGGACTGCTGCTTCGGTTGGATCTTTAGACTTGTTCAAAACTTTTTGGTTGAAATTGAGGAGTTTTCCACTAACCCCCCCAAAAGTTGTTCACTTTTTGCAGGGTCTCGGGGTCGTCTTTGCCTCACTTTTCCCGAGCCGGCTTCCAACTTTTTGGGCAGCCGGAAGCCGGCGGAAGCCGGCGGAAGGAGTGGAAGATCCGAGACTTCCGGATGGGCAGCGAGTTCGTTGGTTCCTCCCTTGTTGACTTGGGTTAAACTCAGGGGGTGGTTCATTTCCCCCAAAAAGAACTGGGTTTAAGTCTATCTTGGGGTAGTCAAGCAGAGCTCGGCGTCTTTGCTCAGACCCACTAAAATGGCGCTTTACTGTGTTCCTGTTGGTTAAGGAGAAGCCAGAAAAAGAAGGGCCGGCTGGCTTCCTTGTGCTGAAATGACTACTGTTTTATGAGACCCCTTGTTGGTTTTAGAGTTAGAATCGATTTCACTGCTGCATGGACAGATTTTTCCATGTTTTTGCCAAGGGGCAAAATTGCAAAGGCAAAATTGCAAAGGGACACCACCAACCAGTTTCTGACTTTGATACCCTTGAGAAACAGTCAACATGTTGACCCCAGGCCAGCTCTGGGTGTTTCCTTTTTTAGGGGACCCACATAAAAAGGCGCTTTTCGGTTTCCTCTTGGTTTCCCTTTGAAATCATGAATGGGGGCAGTCTCACAAAAGACACCCCCAGCGATCCCCGCAAATCCTTGCAAATTTGGGAAACGGGAGGATTTCCCTGGTGGACATCGGTTGGTTGGACACCGGGGCCAGCGGAAAAGGAGGCTTCAACCTCGATACCTGCCAAAGAAGCCAAGACCCTTGCACGGGTTTTACCTGCGTTGAGAACAATGCAACTATAATAATTCAATGCGAGCCATGTTTTTGTTGTTGGGGGTTACTTTGCACCCCCTCCAGGCTTTCAGTTTGAGGGTCCGTCCAGTTGAAAACGTTGCCTGTCCGCAGGCCAACTTCTTCCACTGGCACCTCACGGATGACCAGTCCTGGCGTTTGAGCCTCGTCAGATTTCAGCTGAGACCCATTGCGCGCGGACCGCGACGGCCCACAGGAAACTAAAGACTCAGCAAGTGACCAGATTGACTTCTTTCATCATAAGGGAGGGAAGGGCGAGAGGGGAGGGGGGAGGGAGCCCAAAGCCCTTAAGGGCTCAATAAGAGCTAATTTGGGCTCTCCTTCCCCGTCCTCTCCTTCCATCCCATGATTCCAGGAAGCTCTCTAGGGCCAGGACAGACGAGCACCTCCTCGGTTCGCTTGAACGCCAGCTTGTTTCTCTAGTAGGTGAGTTTCCTCCAAAAGACGGCGCTGGTTGACTTCCATTTGCTTAGGGAGATGTGCTATTTCCAGTGTTGGTTAAAACAAGGGAGTCTGTAACTACTGGACATATCCATATATTGTTTTTTTTTGTTTCTGTGGGTGTGTGTTATTTTTCCCCAGGGGACTTAGCTTGATGGTTCTCAGCAAAGAATACTGGAATGACCCCCTATAAACCATCCTTAGGTTCATTGCCAACACCCGGAACGGTCATTCAATGCCAAGTTACAGTAAGTCCTGGAAAAAAAACAAACAACAACTGATATATGTCCAGGTAGTTATAGATTCCTCTTTATACCTAATCCCAAATCTCCAGCATAAAGACTTTGAAATCCTATCCCAAAATAGTAGACCTCAAATCTCCAATACCGATTCAAAATCTATTCCTCCAACTCCAAAAATATTTTGCCACCACCAAAACATAATTACCTTCCATAATTCCTACTCCCAAAATTAATTAAGCCAAGACAAGCAAATGGAAGTCAAGCCATGCGGCAAATGCAGGTTGAGGCCACCGAGCCACCGCCCGAACGCCTGTTTCGGCGCCGAAACGACGCGAAACGGCGGAGGTTCGTGCGGAGCCGCCCCGCGCTGGTGAACGCCTCCCGGCTCACGAGCCCCGAGTTCTACAGCGAGCAGGATGTCCAGGAGGCGCGGGGGACCGGTTTTTGGTCCAGAGGCTCGAAGGAAGCGGAACATAGCGGAACTATCTGTTTTTTTTTTGAGCAGAGTCTCGTGTTCTTTGATTCGGAGAGAGGCCGAAATGGTAAAAAAATAGTCTTTCCCTTTGGGTCCTTTGGAGGGAGGGCACCGATTCTTCGGAAGATGTTTTGGCTTAAGATACATATTATACATGTATATATTTATGTATACATATATAAGCAACTGCCGCAAATGAACAGCCGGAACTTAAGGTTCGGGAGGATAACTAATAAAAGAATGCAATACCTGGAACCTCATGAGGCAGGGGTGGACATTTCTGCGTTTTGTGTCGAGCTAAGCTTTGTTTGACCGGCATGCGCGCGTTTTTTCTCCGCTTGTTTCGGAACATGTGGCAAGTTGGTCCTTAGGAGCGTCCATAAGAGCCATTTTATGGTCCAAAATTGTTCTATGGCCGATTGGGTCATGGTTCCCTTAACCGGAATCCTATGCTTAAAGATCCTTATCCCGACATGACTAGCCCAACATGAGCCCCAAGGAACTGGTCTTTGAACACATCAGGGCCCAAGGAAATTCGAGTGGGTTCGTAGGGTAGTTGTCCCCTTGTATTACCCTTCAAACTGGGTGTGTCGTTGTTTTGGGGGAATTTCCAAATGGCCGGTTTTCTGTTGGCCTCCAACAAAGTGATCTCCCATGTTGAAGTTTTATCATGGCTGGCTTGACGCGCTCATCATGAAAGCACTGCTGAAGTTAAACCAACTGCTCCTTTGCCCAACTTCTTGGACTATTACTTGGGGGCTGTCAAGGTTTGGGGTCGCTTTTGGCTTTTCGCATTCGCTTTAAAGGAGGGGGCGCGTCCGCGCCGGCGGCACTTTGAATCACGGAATCGGGTCGCCAAGTCAGCTCTGCCCTTGCAACAAATAGATTGGTCGGTGCAGGGCAATCTCAAGCCGTCCTGTTTGGTCATGGTATGAATTGGGTTGAGAGGCCTTCCAGTCTTTAGGGCAGCCTTTGTGACAACGATTCAGTTTTATACACACCCGCGGGGTTGCCTTTTTTTTGATTAAACAACACATCAGGTTGGTGTTGTTTTATTCGTATAAGAAACAAGCACACGTTAAACCAACAACTGATATATAGAGAAAAGGAAAAACACAAATAATAAACATGCATGCTCACCACATATACATATATATATATATATGCACCCCCGCGATGGATCTACCTTTTTGGCGTTTGAAGGCTATTTTGGGGGTAGGGTGTTTTTAGCGCCTGTTTCGGTGTTTCTGTGGACAGGAGTGCTTTTCGGCATGGTTTGGGTGTTTTGGGGGTCTGGCGGGTGTTTTGGGTGTCTGTTTTTATCTTCCCGGTGTTTTTGGTGTCTGGTCGGTGTTTTGGGCGCCTGGGGCTGTGTGCGGTCGGTGGGTGTTTTTGGCGCCTGGCGGGCGTGGCCGGTGTTTTTGGCGCCTGGTTGGCGAGTGTTTTTGGGCGCCGTGTGGACGGCTCCGAACGCATGAGCCTCTGTGGTTCGATTCCTGCCGTGACCGCGGCGCGGGGATCTTGTCCCAAAATCTATGCGCAAAGAACTGCGCGCGCGTTAGCTACTTTCGGCTGACACTGGTGCCTTAGCTTGGCTGCGTCCGCCCTGTGGCATCGCCCCTTCCTCAGTTGGCTGCGTCCAGCCTGTGGCGAACCGCGCGCGCGTTAGCTACTTTCGGCTGACACTGGTGCCTTATCTTGGCTGCGTCCAGCCTGTGGCATCGCCCCTCACAGCGGGAGGCGTTTTTCAAGTCATTTGGAGGTCTTAAGAGGGACCAAGTCAGTCTTGAGGCCGCACGTCCCGGTTCGGCCGCCTCCGTGTGTCCGTCGCTTGCTCCAAGCGTGTTGCCTAGGTTGGAAGGGTGAGGCTGGTGCCCGGACACATGATGAGGCAATTCTCGGGTAGCAAAGCGGCTTTCCTTCCTTGGCAATAGCAGGCGGGACACAAGGGCAGCTTAAAAAATAGCGGGGGGTTGGGGGGGGCTGCCGGCCGCCCCCTCCATGCTAGCAGCCGCGCTAACGCGCGATCGCGCGCAACAGAGGCGCAAGCTGGGAACTCTGAGGGCTGGGGCTTTATGAGGCAACTGGAGGCAGCTGTAGTCCAAGGGCAAGGGCCTGGGGCAGTCGGCCTATCGGGCAAGGTGCAGGGGCAGCCTCAAAATAGCGGGGGGGGGGGGGGGGGTGGGGGGAACGGCAGCCCCCCCCAAGCTTACGCAACAACGACGTGCCCGCAGCTGTGTAACACAGCTCAGCGTGCGTTGGCGACAACTCCGAGGGCAAGGGGCTCGAGCTATGTGAAGCCCCAAGAACTGAGGGGCTCTTTTCGAGGCTGGAGGCAGCTGTAGTCCACAGGCGAAGTTTGCCCCTTGCAAATAGCGGGCAGGGAGGTGCAGGGGGCAGCCTAAAAATAGCAGGGGGGGGTTGGGGGGGGCGGCAGCCCCCCCCATGCTTACGCAACAACGACGTGCCCGCAGCTGCGTAACGCTGGGCGTCGGCAGCAACTCCGAGGGCAAGGGGCTCGAGCTATGTGAAGCCCCAAGAACTGAGGGGCTCTCTTCGAGGCTGGAGGCAGCTGTAGTCCAAAGGCGAAGTTTTTGCCCCTTGCAAATGGGCGGGGAGGTGCAGGGGGCAGCCTAAAAATAGCAGGGGGGGGTTGGGGGGGGCGGCAGCCTGCTTACGCAACAACGACGTGCCCGCAGCTGCGTAACGCTGGGCGTCGGCAGCAACTCCGAGGGCAAGGGGCTCGAGCTATGTGAAGCCCCTAAGAACTGAGGGGCTCTCTTCGAGGCTGGGGGCAGCTGCAGTCCAGAAGCAAAGTTTGCCCCTTGCAAAAACGTGGGAAATAGCGGGGGTTGTCGCCCCCCCCCCCCCCTCTTCGTTAGGGGCTGGGGCTATCTCTGCGGCGGGGGTCTTGTCCCAAAATTTATGCCCAAAGAACTGCGCGCGCGGTTGGCTGACACTGGTGCCTTAGCTTGGCTGCGTCCAGCCTGTGGCATTGTCCCTTCCTCAGTCTCAGTCCACAGGTGCTGGATGTGAGTACTCACAGTGGGAGGCGTTTTTTCAAGTCATTTGGAGGTCTTAACAGGAACCAAGTGTTGAGGCCACACGTGTGTCTTGTTTCAAGCGTGTTGCCTAGCAGAAGCCCTTAAGACCTTTTGCCGGGGTGCGTCTCACGCTTGATCAGGCTTCCTGCTGTTTGGCTAGCGTGGGGGTGGGCTCACGCATGCTTGTAAACTTGGCCTTGAAGCACGCCTGCGCCGTGCCTGAGGTTTCGCGGCAGGTGGCCAGCATTGCGCAGACAAGCAGGCAGGCGTTGCAGCCGGCTGGTTCCCCGGCCAGACTTTGGATTCCCAGCGCAGACCGCGCCGCACTCAAAATCGTTTCCACGAGGCCTTGGCTTCTTCTATGGTGCTAGGCCAGAGCTGTGTCGTTGGAGTGGTACCACCCATGTCCAGTTTCGCAAGGCAAAGACGTGTGGCTGGAGGCACGAGGACAGCGAGCGTTTGCTTTGCCAATGTGTTTCATTTCACGCCGCTACGGCGCGACCTGCCAGGGCGCAACCTGAACATGGGCGCCGCAAGTTGGTAAGGCCCTCAGCAAATCCAGGGTTGACGTGAGTTGCTCCAAGGAGCTGTCGGTTGCACCCATAACGGGCCGCAGCCATCAGCAGTTCGCTTCTGTCACACAACGCCTTCCGTTGCGAGGAGGATGCCTTGTGTTGGCCGGTTTATTTGTGTGCAGTCTAACTTCGCGCTTTGGCAGGACCGAGGTAGTTTGCGCCCATGGCTGTGTCAGGGTGCAGCTTGAAGGCTATGGTCTTCACCTGCGTGCCGCATGTGTCTAACCTAATTGCAAGAGTTTGCTCCTACTTTTTTGACAGGCGCGCTGGGCGGATGACTTCCAGGACCTTTGCCAGCCTTTTTTCTCACCGCTGGCTGGTGTATGAGTGTTTGCTGGCCAGGCTGATGTAAACTTGCCAATAGATTCGGCTACATACATGCGGTTGTTCTGTGGGCTTACTGTGCTCACTCCCGCCGGATGCTCAGTGCTGCTGCGTTGCAACTGTATGTGAGACTGCAGAAGTTGCCCTGCTGACAGGCTGGATGGTTGTCCGTGCCTGGCTCGGACTCTACGCTACATTGCGTTGTCTCGCCCGACTTGCGTTCCAGGTGCCCCTCCACTGCACGCCCGTTGCCCAGCTGCCGCCGCCTCCGTTTCGCCCACAACGCGGCAAGCAGGTTGCCGGCTGGCTGTTGTCTTGCTGCATGTTTGGCTGCCCAGCGTCAAGCGTTTTGCGATTGCGCAGGCCCGGGCTCTGCGCAGTCGACGCCCTCCTGTGGCAGAGGTCCATCTTACATGCTGGAGTGGCATGCAAGGGGCGGCCTGCTTTAGGATTGGGATGAGGAAGCCGTGCAAATTGCGACTGAGAAGGCAATGTCCGAGGCGGCTTGCGCGTGCACGCTTCTCAGCGGTCGTCTTACGTTTGTCTCGTCACAGGTGCCGGCGCCCGGTCTCTTCCTGGAAAGCGCTTGGAGTCGTGGCCTCAGTCCTGCAAACTCGCATTTTCCCGCTTGGGCGTTGGCTCGCCAGCAGGTGATTTGCTGGCGAGCGATATCGAGAAAGCTGCGCAGAAGCAACGGCGTCAGGACGCTGTGAGCGAACACGCGCGCACACACACACACACACACTCATCACCCTGCAGGCCGTTTTGGCAGCGGCTGCTCGCCGCCCGTCCCCGGCTGCAGCCTAATTAGTTGAGTAGCCTCAAAGCTGGAGCGCGCTTGCTCCGAAGAGTGCCTGCTCAGGAGCACGAGCGGTACTCTGTCCAGCGCAGGCAAAGTGATGCACATCTTGACTTGCCTCGCTCACCCTTGTGATAGGACACAGCCAGCCCTTGCCTGGCAGTGTTGGCAGCGTGTCTCGGGCAGCGCTGACCAGGATGAGGCCTGGGCCTGTTGCCTAGCATGCTACGCGTTTGCGGGCCGCCCGCCTTGTAGGACATCGCGCTGGCTTGGCCACATATGGCGGCGCCGCGCAGCTTGAGCTATTTGCTGCAGAGCCCCACCCTGAGCTGGCTTCCGCAGCGCCCCCGGCTCTCATGAGATTGCTGAGGTCAGTGGAGCCTGTCCTCGAAAGAGCGCAACCGGCTCTTGCACGCACTCTTTGGCAACACTTCCGTCTCTGCGAGGCCTAGAGCGCGCGCTACTAAGTCGTTCCATTCTGGCTCTGCTAGGTTGGCGCCGGCTCGCCGTGCCTCTTGCCACAACGTGCGCGGTGTCTTCCCTAATCCTTCCGGGAAGACGTGCTGGCTCGCATCTTGTCTTCAAGGCTTGCATGCCACGGAAGCCTTCCATGCCTGCATTGACAAGCATGTCCGCTCCGGGCTCTGTCCTGTCAACTGCTTGCTCTGCCTCTGCAAAGCTACTGAAGAGGGCAGCCGACAAAGCGGCGCGGCTGTCGCGCTATCAGACACCTGGAATGACTTTCTGTCTGCCTCAGGAGTCAGCGTTTTTCAGCAGCACGACCCCACAGAGATCTACGTGAAGGTGTTGTCCCCTGCGTTTGAACGCGAGTGGGCAGCCGCGTCTTCGGTCACTTGTTCCACCACTGTCCATCTTCGCAGCCTGTGTCGCTGCTGTGATGACGGACCGCCTTCTGTCACTTCCGAACAACACAGTCTGCTGCCGGTCAAAATCCCTCTACGGGCGGCTGCTGGGCACTCTGTTGCCCTCTCGTCTCTTCTTGCCCCTGAGACAGATGTGTCTAGTGCCGGGGCCGGCCGCACGTGCCCGGCCTGCCATGCGCCGCTGGACTACCACATCCATCGGAGTTGGTCTGCCGCGATTGTTCTGCTAATCAATCTAGAACGGCAAGCTGGACAAGACATTGGCAAGCATTGCCAGTTGGACCTGAAAAGCCTGAGCAGCATCCAGCTGCAAGGGCAGCACTACCGATTGCGCGCTGCCATGGTGCACCGTGGCGCAAGTGCCGATGCTGGGCACTACGTGGCCTTTGTCAAGCAGAAAGACTGCTGGGTGCGATACAATGATGGGGACACGCCCCAGCGCTTGTCATCGGCGCCAGTGGCCGTGGCTACGCACTCCCGACTTCTTGTCTACGAGCGTTGCGGAGTGGCTCGCCTGCTCTACGCTGTGCTTTTGTGCTTTCGCATCTTGCCACAATGCTCGCGCTGAGGTACCTGAGTTTCATGCTCCTGCGCCGAGCACTAGCGTCCGCGGCCTTGATTTGCCTCGAGCGTGGGTTGAGTGCTTGCCCTTCGCTTGCAGGCCCAGAGCCCTGCGGTGAAGCAGGAGACACCTGCGACCGCAAACTCCGATCGCTTGACACCAACGGCAGTGCCTCGACCTGCCTATCTCAGAAGCGTTCACCGCACTGCAAGGGAGTGTCAAGATCTCCTTGCTGAGGACATCACTCCGAGCTTGCTGCAAGCGGAGCCTGCTGGCCCCGAGGCGCGGTGTGCGTTCTTGTTGTTGCAACTTACACCTTGCTTGCCCTAGGCTGCTCCTGCGACGGGGGCGAGGACTATGCCTATGAACAGTCAGCAACTACAACTGGAGTCGGATTCGATTCGGCTCTTGCAGCTTTTTGTTGAGGGCGGTGATTGCCGCGGTTTTCTTGCTTCGCTGCCGCTGTTTCTGCCGCCGACAAACACAGCAGATGCA